GTCCAGAGGTGCCCAGAGGCTGATGATCTCAATGCTTTTTGCTTAGCAGGTTGTTCTGAAAGCTAAGAGCAGGTATCTATGGGAGGAGAGTCTCTGGTGGCCAGCGCAGCCCCAGAAATACCCTTGAGACAACTAACTGACTGTGTCTCTTAGTCTATGAAAGGCTCCTCCATATGCCCAGTCCCAGGGGCTGAGTTCCTTGGCTTCATCTTGTGCTTCTGTTGATTTTTTTTTTTTTTTTTTTTTTGCTTTCATCTAGTCAGTTGCAGGGGGTTTCAATAGATGTTACCTCCACCATATGCTTCCATCTGTCCTTGCCTCTTCAGTCCACTGCTCTACCCTGGTTAGCTGCTTGTCCCTTAGGTGCTCTGGTTAGTTGTACCATGCCCTGCAGGACCACCGTGCACCTTGCTCCCAGGCTAATGTTCCTAAATCAGAATTTTCAATGTGTATCCACTCGCCCCTCTAAATCTGTCATTTGCTCCACACTGGCAACTACTTAGCCAAGTAAAATCTTTTTTCCCTTAAAATGCAAGGTCCAGATGCTTTCAGCACTACATATCCCTGATCCTTGCTTCATTCTCCTATTGGAACTCCGCCGAAGGCAGGATACTGGCTCCTGCATTGCAGCATCTTGAGCGGTGCCTTGAATGTAGCAGGATCTCATTGAATATCTGTTTCCATTAATTTAACTTGGTGTAACATCCACAGCATACAGTAGACCCCAGGGGCTAGCTTCTGGATCAGACATTCCAGCAGATGGTTTGCCAACACCCAGAGAGAAAAGCAGCGATCAGGGCATTTGCAAAAGGATGGAGGAGGGCGGATTTGAGTGCATCAGAATTCTGCTATGAGTAGACCATTTAGTTTACTCTGAATTTACTGACTCAGCTTAGTGTCGTCCTCCTCCATTCAACTTCTGCCACTGTTCTGGGTGACATGGACTTTTTCATAGACATGGCAGTTCCTCACCTGGTCTTTCATCGATTCCTTCTCAGTGTCAAAGCGGTTCATTTCCTTTCCTCTCTGGCCATCCTGCACCCTGAGCTTTGTCCTGTCTGCCTTATCCAGCCTAGGTACCATGTATGGTCCACCATTTAACCCCACTTTGGCCATCATCCTTAATTTCTTTGCCCCACACTCTTTCCAGCACACCTGCCATTGATACTACCAAGCATGTCCCCAACTTCTACTGCAGGGCTGCTGGGGAAGCTCCATCAGCTACACTGATCCTTGTCATTATAGTCCCTGCTCGATTAATTCCTTTCTACTGACGTTTAAAGCACCAAGGAAAAATAATCTCACATTTACTTCTGGGTCCTACTCTCTTTCCTTATACTCTTCATAGCCAAGTATCTGGGAAGAGTGGTCTCCTCTCATGTTGCCCCACTTCCTCATGCTCTGCGCCTCACTGAGGGTGGTGCATCAGAGACTGTCCAACATTAACAGCCCGTGCCTATGTGTGGCTACCTAAGTAAAAGTCAGTAAAAATTTAAATTTATACAAGCCACATTTCAAGGGCTCAATAGTCACATGTGATGCAAATATAGCGCATTTCTATTACTTCCTAAAGCTCCACTGGAACTGCCAGACTATGCCATTCCCAAATTGCTCTTTCTCCTGGTCTTCCTTTTTCAATAAGCAATGTCCCCGTTCATCATGTGATCCCAGCCTTTTTCAGGAGCTGTCACTGTGGATTCTTCCCTCTTACATACACCATTGTGTAGACTTCTATTCAGAGACTAAGACTTGAAGGTTCTTCTTTCATCCATACCTCCCCTGCCAAGGCCATCAGTTACTCCATCAGCTACTCCATTATACCAGTGGCATACTTTTCAATCCCTACATTCTTATTCTCCCCACAACAGATGGTGGGCTTTCCTCAAATGCACAACAATCTAGTCACTTCCTGGTAAAAGTCCATCAATGACTTCATCTGCCTTAGAGATAAAGATCAAACCTGTTGACAAGGCAGCAACCCTGCTGGATCATGTTCTTGATGGCCGCCATTCTTGCCCCATCTTCTGAAAGCTCCTGCTTGCCTCACACACTCCAGTCACGCTGGGCTCCCTGCAGCCCCAAACATGGTGCTCCCTTCCAGGCTTTTACTTCTGTATGTCCTTCCATATAAAGCATTCTCTCCTTGCTCACCTATATAACTTTTTCTCAGTCTTCATGTCTAAGGTAGACCTCACATTGTTTTAGACCCACACTCCAGTGTGAACCAGGGCAAGGCCAGGTCCAGTGTCTCTTCCGTGTGTCCCCCACTGCACCCATGCTGACACCATCACGTATCTTGTCATACCAAACTGTGATGCTGCACTAAATTCCCATTTACCCATACAGGGCCAAGTACAAAGACCGACCGAGTCATGGAATCTGATTTCTTGGTTGACTCCTCATTGGTATGGTGGTTAAATCTTATTGGGTCCTACAGGAAATCAAGCCAATTGCAAAGACCTCTTCGGTAAGCTGCTTTTAAGTTAAAGATGAAGCTATCATATCCTGCTAGGGTAGAGTTCTCAAGACTGCGATTTGTGACCCGTAAGTGGGAAACAAAACCAATATAGTGGGTCATGACCAACTTTTTAAAAAGCATGGAATAGAAGAGAATACATACATATTAAGGGTATTTTTTTTAAGTGTGAAATTTTTGTTTCAGCTATATTAATGCATATGTATGTGTGTACTGGGCCATAATGTAAAACTTATCTCTTGCTGGGGATTAGTCACTGAAGTTGAAAAATACTATTCTAGATAATGCCTGGTTGATTATTCCTGCGGTGACATACAAACAGTGGAACTGCTTCAGGGCAACATACAGTGATCTTAACAGTGTCATGTTATACAGGCTATATACTGTAATGTTCTGTCTTCAAATGTCCCATAATTTTCATTAACATTTCAGAAATATCTTACAAATCTTTTTTTTTTTTCTCATTTTGTGCTAGCAAGTTATTCTGAAGGGAAACAAATTTTTTTTTTTTTACCAGCTATATTGAGTCTTTAGCATTTGTTTAGAGGTGCAGAGATTTCCCCTAGAGCAACTCCACAGATGGGGGACTCTCACCTTTCCTGGTCAGCTTATAAGAGGACTCCTAGTAGGAGGGCTGTACCCACTTACCTGGGTATGGTCCACAGAGCTCTGAACCCATTAGGTGCTCAATGAAGGTTAGTTTGTTGAATGAATGTGTATGTGAAATGATTTTGCTCTTTACAGAAATATGGGTCCCCAACTTGCTATCTGATGTTACACACTCCTCCATCCACCCAAGTCATGGTGGCAGGGGTGAGGCATTATGGCATATGCATACTCTACCTTCCCAAGGAGAAGGAAAGAGATCAACATAATTATTATTCTATGGTTGTGGAGTTCTACAAGCCACTAGACCTTCCAGGAAGGCGTACGTGTTTTAGTTTGAATTCCAACTGAATTTGTCTTAACTAGGTATCTTCATTACATAGAGCATTTCTGTTCTCTGCAAAATCGAAATATGATAAAAATTCCCTATGTGTACCACCATACATGGATTGATAAGGGTTGAGAGGACTCTGAGACCTTGTCCTGGGCATGGGAGGAAGGATCACAGCAATCCATTGGAAACATTTTGCTATGGGCAGAGAAGGGAAGTAAGGAGGTACGTGTGCCCTGGTATTTGCCATTCCCCAGGGAGGACCTTATGGATGATCTAAGAGAGGTATTCTTTTCTATATATCAATTATACAGGAATTCATCTCATTATAAAAGTAATGCACATATATAGTCATTCAAAATTTTAAAACACTTAGAAAAAATGATTTATAAGTTCTTTACTCAAAGACAATACACACCATGTTTGTGTTTAGCTTCCCAATATTCTTCCATGTTTATACTTTAAAAATGCTTGAACATACAGTATATAATAGACTTTTCTATACCCCCCCAACACACACACACATCATGTGCCCTTTCCTAGTCTATAAATACTTTCCAGAATTTTAGAGGGGACCATAAATCCTACCGGAATTCTAGATCATAATGGATGTAACTAATTCCCAGCTGTTGGACAGTTGGGTGGTTGCCAAATTTTCATTTTTTTTTACAAACATTTTCATAAGCACTTCTATAGCTGAGTCTTTGTGCCCATTCACAGTGATATACTTCAAAGGAGGGGTTTAATTTTTACTCTGAAAATACACACCATGGTTATCTCCCTTTGCACATTTATTTACCATATAATGTCCATTAAAGAAGACCACTAGGATTCAAGGGAAAAAAATTACCCTGTTTTGATCTTAGCCTTGACAAAGGGATATTCATAAAGCAATAGAAGTCTAGAGGGAGAAAGGTAGGGCACTCCTAGCAGCTGGGTTACCTGATCGGCCTTTCCAGATTCCCTCCAACCCTGCCAGCCTGTCCCCAAAACCAGGGAGAACCATGGCATATTCCTGTGCTTGGTTTTCTCATCTTAAAAACGAGAATGTTGGGCTTAACTCCTTTTATCCACACCAAACCTTGGAATGTACACTGTATAGCATGAAGGTCACATTTGCCCCATCCTAGAAACCCAAGGTAAATAAACTCAATCAGTTTGGAAAAATTTAAAGGGTACAAAGTTTCCATTTGTGAGGCACTGTAAGAATGCCTTTGTCCCAGCTGGCAGCCCCATAAATGAAGCATTTCATGAGCTGCCCAGGGTTTGCTTAATGAGGGAGCCACATTACACCATCAAATGCTTTTCCCATTGGGGCCATCACTTTCTCCTTCTTATGCCGCTGAGAATTCAGTGTCACACAAAAACAGAGTTTATATAAATGAAAACTTTGTGGTATCCAGAGAGTGGATAGGTCTAAATTCAGAGCAAAATTTACAGGTTTAAAGATTCTCTTTGCTGATAGTTATTAAATTTCATTGGGAAAAAAAAAGGCAAGCTCAAAAATTGGGACAAATTCGCAGGTATTGACTCACCTGGTCATAAGCATCCAATTCATTATGGAGGGAATAAAGAGAGCATACATACCCAACAAACGAAGGAGGAGGAACAAGACTCCCAGGGCATAAGACTTGAGTTCAGGGCTGACTGTCCTACATGCAAAGAGATGAAGAAAGAAAGGAAAAGATTATTGCTCCACTTTAATTAACAGACCCGAGTCATCCACTGCTGTCCATCAGAGCCATTCTTTAAAATTAATGGCTTTTTTTTGGCTTTGTCTGCCTAAAGTCTGAAAAATAAGTGCAGTGACAAGGTAAGTTTGGGAACTTAACAGTGTTCTTTAATAACACATGTCATTAGAAGGAACACATGCAAATGTGATCCCTAAAGTCTTTATTTAAAGACATTTTGCTTTTGCCAAGATAGGAAACCATCTTAAGTTGGTAGGATATATGTACTGGGGAAGTATCAACTGGGAAGATAATTTCTCTCATGCTTCACCAACAGCCAGACTCACCAACAATCTTGTTGTTCTCAGGTTATTTTGTGAAGTCAACCAGATGAGTGAGCATGGTTTGACACCCCTGATGGAACAACTTGCAAAATAATCCATTCATCTATAACCAGTTTTAGTGCCTTTTTAATGGGAAAAGTACCTTCAGATGGTCATAGTTCTTTGTTTTGAACTGACTCAATCACCCTAGCTTTGGTTTATCTAGAACAATCCATTTGAATGATTGTCTTGAACATTTTCTAGAATACTCTCTGACTATAACTTTTTCTGGGATAAGTCTGACAGTACAGGAGATTTGGGAATGACCAATTCCAAATAGATGGGCCTCACAGCTGATCACATCTCTTTTGAAATGTCTCTTACTCTTGTAATTGGTGTTAATTTAATGTTTGTCTCTCTCCTTGAATCCAGGGATGATTTGTATCTTGTTCATCATGAGTGCCACGACAATCTGTTGAGTAATATGTAAGTGGGTAGATGGGTGGGCACATGTCTCCCACTCAGGACCCAGGCTGGCCTCATCTCTGGTGGGGTGGTGAGGGAATGTGAAGGGAGATGTATTTGACCAACTACATGCACACATGCTCAGATCATCCTGGACATTGCTGGCAGAGAAACTTCCCCTTGTGCCATTCCCATCATGAGTCCCTAGGGGAGATGGGGAGGTAAACACATAACTATGAGCCTTGGAAGGACTTGGCTAGGCCTAGCTCCTTTCCAGTGTGGCCAAGCCTTTGGAAACATCAGGAGCATTTCAATATGGCTTGAAAGACTAGAAGGACCCATGCAGCATAGGGAAGACCTAGGCCATCAATTCTGTAGAAAATAAATGTTAGAAACAAAGTTATCAGTAGGATATCTAAGTCTACTAGGATATCTAGAACCTAGGATACATAACCCGACTCTTGACTTAGTAGCTAAAATTATATTTTACATGACCCCAGAGGTCATTCATCTCACCATCCAATGCCATCCATCCAATGACCTACCACCTGTTTGAGGCTCAGGTGGGCATGTCTTTAGCTTCTTGGTAGACTGGGCCAAAGGACACCATCAAACCAAAAGGAACATGGATGTAGTTTTTACAATCTTTGCCCTATTTCTAAGATTATCAGTGAAAAGTAAAAATGTGTTATTCTTGGGGAATGCCCATTTCTTCTCAATGGGGAAACCACTGTCTGGTTGATCAAGCCAGATGCCTGAAAAACGTCAATGATGAGATCAGTGTTTCTGGATAGAAATACAGCTAGTTCTCTTTAGAATGTGCTGTGTTAGAAAAATCCAAGTTCTTCAGAGCTATCATCAGCTACATGGCTCCGGTTTTTGTACATTCACTTGATGGTATTGACTTGAAAGACACGTAAATAAAGACAAATTCTCCTTTTCAAGAAAACGTGCTGGCATAATGAGCCAGCACTCGAAATTTGATTTCCTTTCAGTTCTCATGTCACTAGGAATCAAATGAGCAAGGTGCTAAGATCCCCCTTCATATCCTCTTGGGGAGCTGGTTCCCATGGGGGGAGTCTTCGTTCTCAGATCTAGTTATGGAGAAATGGAAGGTTCTGGTCTGAATGTTACTGAAAGTTCCTGGCAAGGCCAGAGATGGGGTCTTAAGTCTATAATTTATGAGCTGATGACCTTGAGAATACTGCTTAACCCCCCTCAGAGCCTCCACCTCCCTATCTGTAAAAGTGGAATGCTAATAAGGATGTAAACACATAATTAAAACAGGAGCCCAGTGCTGGGTCCAAAGCGGGGCGCAGCAGAGGTTACCTTTTATCTTCGCCTGTGGATGATCTGAGTACTGCTGTTGTGTGCGTTAGAGTGGGGCCATCACTCTGGGACGGGGCAAGGGCTGTGGCTTAGACTGTGCCTTCGTGCCTGCCTGGAACATCTATGATGGCAAAGTGGACTAGAATAGTGACAGAATAAGGTGCTACCCCGATCATCTTGATGGGCACAACATGCGAGCCTATGCCTCCAACAGGCCCTAGCAGAGCAGGGGCTTATGGGGTAGCCGAGGTCCAGCCTAGATCACGGAGGCCATTGGCTGCTAATCTAGTCAAAGGAATCAAATGTTTCCTGAAAATCTCCAAGAGCTGTTTATCAAGCTGAGACTTGGAAGTGAATAAGATCTCAGCTTTCTGTGTTTGCCAGTCCCCAGCAGTGAGCTGGCTTTTTGTATAGAAGTCATGGGGAGAGAAGAAAGTAGACTAGTCACTGCTAATGGTCACGAAGGTCATTTTTCCTGTACCTTCGTGGTGCCTTTTGTTTGTGATCAACACAATAGAACTTCATGGGAATTTCTAATAATGAAACATAAGTTACTCATAACACAGCCACCCAAAACCCATACCTAGGATCTGAGGGTTTTATCCATATGCATATTATACATAATCAACCTCCGTAGGTAATTTAAGTGCAATAGTTCAACCCATAAATACTTTTCATTCTTATGAATTTTCATTATCCCATTGAGCTATGGTACAGTACTATAATTTAATTCATTATTCCAATTCAGGTTTTTCTGCTATTACAGTTAACATTGTAATAAAAATCTGTCTGCACTGAGCTCCTTTTTGGGTAGAGAAGTATTTTCCTAAGTGGTGAGACATAGGGTTGCCTCATAAAAAATCTGAACATTTTTATGACTCTTGATTCACAGTGCTATATTGCTTCTTTGAAAGGAGCAATAGGCTTTTCAATGCCACCAGCAGTATGCAATCTGACCAGTTTTGCTACAGCCTTGCAAGCACTGGGGGTGAATATTTAACACTGATTTCTCAAGTTTAGTAAGTATAAAATGGCACTGTGTTATTGTTGCCTTAATGCTTCTGCACATTAACAAGGTTTTACTAATGACCTCCTTGAGAACAAACGCACTTTGTAGAAACACGCCTCCTCAGGAATTCATAACAGAGATCAGGAAATGCGGTAGGCATGGGGAGAAGGAGAGAGGAGCTTGGATAAAGCAGGTGGGGACGTGTACTGGCACAGGTCACATTCAAGCATTGCACTCCCCCCTTTGTATTTCTAGCTCCTTGGAGTGAACTAGCAACATCCTAGTAAAGTGGGTCTGTGTTTGGTGTTACTTCCTCTGGTTTAACACAGACACTGGGTTACAGAGGGTTCCACTTTTAGGTTCTTCACACAAATCTAGGTAACTTCACAAATGTACAAGTATTTAGAATATGACCCCATAGTTCATCTCTGAGGCACCTCACCTGCCCTCAGAACAGGTCCCGAGAGACAGGGAGCCACAGCCTATGGGTGCTTTCTCTAACCATCTATTTGTATTGGAGTAATCACCACTGGCATACACATGGCCTCAGTGGGACCCACACCACTGCAAGAGGCCAGCAGGACCAATGATGTCATCACTCCCAGGTCCCAATTCAGAAACAAATCTGAGGGAAAAATGTGGCTGATCAGTGGCTGGACAGGGGCTGAACTTGGGGACCTACCTAGTCCAATGCCACTTACGTTTTATTCCAACAATGCTGCTTTCCATAAAAATCAATGCAGGATCAGAGTTCCTTTCAAAATCCTCCACACAGTCCATTCTTGGGAGGATCTGAAAGTGTATCATCTCCCTTGGGCCACGCTTTCTGGTCTTGTGTGAGAGCTCTGTCAAATGTACCTAATTCCTATCAGCCTGGGGAACCTGGCTCGTAAGACTCACGCAGGACCTGAAGTTCTGGCCTCCCGAGGCGGCAGATGTGCATGAAGTGGGCAGAGGCAGGGCAAGAGGCAAGCCTGGCTCGCTAGTCCCTGGTCTGAGCTCACCTGATAAGGATGATGACTGAGGGTGTCTGCGCCATCGCCCCAATCATACTGCAGACACACATCACACACAGGAAGGTGAGGAAGGCCTCTTGGCACCCAGGACTGGGGCATTTTCCAGGAACCACAGTCGTGTTCTCGGGTGGGACGGTCGTGAGGCACGCACAGCCGGTGAGATTCTGAAATGCAAGTGTTCAACCCTTTTAACCGGGGGCATCTCCGGTTTCCGAACCCAAAGCCATCCATCAGCTGGAGCTGTCACAGCCTAATTATGCATTCTGTGGCATTCCATTAATTAGATCTGAATAAACGAGTTAGCTTTTTAAGGAAGTTGCAAAACACATGCAAATACAGGAATATTTACAGGGAGGAGAGCCCCAGCCCCATCTCCTGTGTATTTCATTTCCACGTTCCAGAATCCCTCAATAAGCTGTACCCTAGACAAATGTGTCCCCCCCGCCCAATACAATTAGAGAGGAAGCTGTGCCTCCATAGTATGATAAAACATTGCCAAATTAATGTTATAATTACTTGCCAATTTGTCCTCTCTTTTATGCAGTGATAATTACAATGAAGTGTATTAAAAGAAGTAAATCAGGTAACCTGCATATTGTTGCTGGTTCAGTGCCCAGTGTGGCACTTGGAACAAAGGACGTGCATTGTCATGCACGTAGTCGCTGCTCTTGTGGGCCACTGGAGGGGGCAGCTTAATGGGACCATTCTCATGTGGCAGGGTAAGCAAAGAGGGCTAAGAGATGCCAGGAGCTTGCAGCACATCGCACACAGGCAGCGAGCTAAAGCCCAAACCAGACACATTTATTAATACTTGATCCAAGGAGGGGGGAAAGAAAGGGACTGCGTTCCATTTGATCTTGTGGGTGGATTCTTGCCCAGCTGCCCCTGCTCCCGGGCGCGGTCCAATCCTCCCTTCATCATCAGAGGAATTTCTGATGGTAAAGGGAGGAGCAGCGGCTGGGAGAGGCAGTGCCAAGCGAGCGCCAAGCCAATTAAGGTTCGATAATAATAGTGCAGAGGCCTTTAATGAATACAATCATAAATGATTCATTGCTTTTCTTCTCGAGACTGCTCGGCTTTCAGAGCACATGGCAAGGAAAATCCTCCTGAGGGTCAAACAAATCCCCTTTGGCTTTCACATTCTTCTGCTTTGTCCTCATTCCTCTCCATCCTCCTGTCCCTTCTTTTCTCTTCCCACAGAACAGGGCATAGGTAGGGGTTTTTCTCAGCCCAGAAAACCATATGGGATGCTTTCAGGGGTGTCCTAAAGCCCTTAGGTACCTTCCTACCCCCTCAGAGTCACCCGGTGTGGCTGTGCCCTGCACAGGGGCCTTTATCCACAGGGCAGAGGTGAGAGGTGTGGGCAGATGTGGTATGGGGCTGGACTTCCTTAGCTCTGTGTCCAGAGCAGGTGCCTCTGTTTAAATGGACTGGTTATAGCACCTTGTGACCTATACTGTAATTCCCCAGAGGTGCCGAGGCCGTGTCCCTCTGTGCCTCCCCATACATCCCTGCCTGGGTGCTTCCTAAAACCTCTGTAAAACCCTCTCCCTCTTTGAGGCTTCCCTTCACTGAGCCAGAATCCCCACTGGCCCTGAGCCAGGTCCTTCTGCGGGCCCTCAAGAGCCCAGCACCCCCCACCCCTGCCATGTGGACACACTCCACACCCCACACCCCACTGCTGGAGACCTCATGGCTCCCGGCATGAGGACCAAGTCTTAGGCATACTCTCCTGAGCATTTCAGGGCACTCAGATACAGCAGGTGAAGTTTAGCAGGTGATTTTAGAATGCATATGTGAATGAATCTTCCCCCGTGTTTAGCAGGAGGCAGGACTTCTCCCCACCTAGAACTTAAAATGTCACCTTCTCTCTACTCAGGGGAGGAAAAGTGTTACCCCCTCTCTTCAGAACTCAACTTTACAGCCAAACTTTGCTGTCTACACTCGCCACCTCCATCTCATCCACCAAGCTCCCACTCATTCCAGTTGGCTCCTGTCCTCACATGCAGAATCCAGATGGTGCTAAGCGCTCCGGGGACCTCCATATCCCGACTCCATCACCCACTTTTCTCTTACTAGAGCCCTTGGGACATGTGCCCATGAACCACTCCCCTCTGTAGCTTCCACAGGCCATAATCCTCCCAGACCCACATCATTCATCCTGCCCCAAGGCTCTGAGCATGTTGCCATCTCCACGCTGAACCCAGGAACAAATGCCCCGACCTGGATTCTGCACTGTCAGCTTGGCACTATTTCCCGTCTATGCTGGGAACTACTTCCCTAGAATTCCCTTCTCTGCAGGGCTGAGAGCTGTTCTCAGGGAGGGCAGGGTGGGGGTGGGGGGCAGCACGGATGAGATTTAGAAGGCAGAAGTGAAGCAGAGGCTACTACCGTCAGAAGGCCAGACACAGGGATGATACCCGTGGAAGTGCCCAGAAGGTGCCGGCTGGCCCTAGCATCCGTGTGTACACAACCCCCCCCCCCCCCGTTTCCGCCTGCCCTGCTGACAACAGAGGCCCCGTAGCCACCTCTACTGATGTGGTTTTATGCCCACTGACCTAGTCAGCACGCTGGTCAGTACCGTCTTAGGCTTTTCCCACAAACCCCCACATTCCCACCAGTGCCAGTGCTTCTGGGGATGGAATAACCATCCTCCATGCCTTCATCTCACTCCTCCCAGATTTTAATTCTCCAACTCCTCTGTGTTCACATTAACTCTAACTCCCACACTAAACTCTTTATTTCTAACATAACTGTGGGTGCTGTTTTCCTGACGGATGCATGTTCCCCCTCCCCACCCCCCCTTTCCCTCTGCATCTCTTGCCTGAGAAGTGGCATCCTATTAACTTTCTGGAAATTTTCTGATAATTTCGGACCCCGCCCCTGACTCCCATGTCTGAGCCATCGTCCTGAGTGTGAGGCAAGTGAGGCTAGACATCACTGTCGTTTTGCTAATTTATCCTCAGCTCTAGAGGAGAGGGCTTGGCTCATGACAGGGAGTCAACAGCTATTCATTGAATAAATAAATAGATCTCAAGTCCTATTCATTTCATCATCTCCTAAATCCTTCTAAACCCTCAAATCCTTGTCTCTGATTCCTGTAGTAAGCTATAAGAAAAGAGAGATCCAGGTCTGTGGGGCTAAGAACCACAGATATAAATGAGAAACAGGCCTCTCAGAGATGGCTATGGTCTTGCTTCATCAAGCATACTAGGAACTGAGCTCTGACTTACATAGCCTCTTAGGAATGTGATGTGAGTACTGGAACTGAGTGATTAGGCCAGGACCCTATGAATGAACCATGTGATTGCTAAGCTTTATTTAGTTTAAAAAGTAATCTGTAGTTGGGACCTATGCTCAGTCTTAGATCTTTGCCCAATACCTAGACTAGGGCTCAAATGCATGATATTTACCATAAAAGGAAAGTACCTGTCTCCTCTCTGTTCTGAGAAGTAGAAAACTCCTTCTGAAATGAACCTACTCCAGATTAGGTCTCTGCTCCTGGCCCCATAGAATGGATTAAAATGAGATATCTTTCTTTTAGACTGTCTGACACAGTGACTACACAGCCCTGTCTGGTCTGTGGGAGAGACAGGGAATGTGACCATGAAGCCAATGTCCTGGGAATGCAGTGAGTGGACAGCAGAGTTGAGCTACCATGGGATCTGTCTGCAGCCAAGACAAAGGGAAGGAGGTGACAGCACACAAAGCCAAGGAGAGGGAAGGGACAAAAACAGGCCAAGAGCAGCTTCAGGGCTCTGGGCAGAAATGAGGCATTTGTAGGGTCATTATTAATGCCAGAAAAGCAGAAGTGAGAAATGCAAGCAGTAAGATGTCAGCTTGCTGGTGCCAAGAGGAGAAGCTGGAAATGGGGTGGGGGGGTCTCTCCCAGAGGTTCTAGGCAAACCTGTATTTATTTATTCAGATTTAATTTATTTGAGAAGAGCTGTGGAAGAGGCTAGGGAGGAGATAAGCCAGAGGGTCTGAGCAGGAGCCTGGATGCGGTCTCCTTTCTGGGCAGGTGACCCAGTCTGACACGAAACCAGGAACCGCTGGGTAGTCACACAATCTGGAAGGCAGCTGGGACTTTCCTACGATCCTTCCAAGAGGGAATCTAAGGGAACATGCTAAGCCTGTGGTCATATGACAAGAGATGGGGAACATCCTTCATTTGGGCTCAGGTGACACAAGAAATGGACCTGGATGTCATGCTAAAGGAGGTGTGGGGACTCTGGCAGCAAAGTTTGGGAAGAAACTTCCACCCACATTCATGTATGGTGGGAAGAACCACGGATGAGGACCACACAGTTTTATCTTTCCCAAAATTGCAAAAGATGACTTTCCACCTATGGGGTTTCACAGACTATCACCCTAAATAAAAAGGAAGTGGAGGGACAGCCCTTCTGCTGATACTACCCGGGCAGCTGCATGGGAACTCCTCAACTTGCAAAAGCTCCAAGCAGCAGGAAGCTTAGAAATACAGAGCTAACCTGGGTGTGAAAGAACAATAATTCACTTTACTGAAGAGATGACAGAGGCTGGGATCCTAATTCTCACCCTGTTGGTATACAACAGTACCATCTGGCCAATCCAAAAAAAGCAGATGGGTCTCAGAAACCACCTGTAGATGGTCATGGCCTGAATGAAGTGGTACACCCAATGCTGCTCTCTTTGGCAGTCCCCAATACATTTAACTATTAAGAAAGTACACTGGGCTCCAGTAGATTGGTTTTACCATTCCTGATCTGGCAAATGCCCAAGTTTTCATCCCTGTTTCAAAGGGATGTCTTCCAAGTTCATCATTCTGTGGGAGGGAATGAGGTCTCTGCTGCCTCCATGAGAGCGGGATTCTCTGTCTGGGGTCACATATTGACACGGAAGAAGGGGGTCGGAGTGGGGGAAGAGGGACAGGGTCTGGCTTTACTGGAAGTAAGTTCATCCTGATTTATCATGTTGATAATCAGATAACCACTGTGCTCACAGAGGAGCTGGCCTGGCGAGGTTTTGGGACCAGTGCTGACCCAGAGGACAGAGCAGGACTGACTGGTAAATTCTAACAAGAACCCATCCTATAGACAGACTTGCCTGGGCACAAAATGACATAAGTACAAGAGCCACAATGCTGCTTGCAAGACCCAAAGTTTTGCAGCAATCTGAACGCCCA